ATACACATGTACGTGCACACGTACGTACATACACATGTACGTGCACACGTACGTACATACACATGTACGTGCACACGTACGTACATACACATGTACGTGCACACGTACGTACATACACATGTACGTGCACACGTACGTACATACACAAAGATCCCCTGTATAGCCTTAACAGACTGTTGGGGCAAGTGCTGTTAGCGAGCACCTATGAAGGCTAGAACGGCACACGAGGGGGTGGGTGGCCAGCACCACGCCCGATGTTTTTTACGCACCGCACCAGGTACTCATTTGAGGCTGAGTCGACCTAGGTGAGGCCCAGGACCGGTTCAGATAATCGTCACCGGTGTTGGCCGTGAGCGGGAATCGAACTCGGGTGGTCAGGTTCGTGGCGCAGCGCGCTAACCGCTACACCACCGCTCCCCCCTACATACACACACACACGTACGTACATACATAGAAGCACACTCCTTCACACGTTTCATATATTTAGCCCCTCGCAGTGTGCGGCTCTAAAGACCAAGGCGGTTAATGAAATCGATGTTGCTCTCCGATGAAAGCGTTCACAATCCCACCGTGTGTCCATTCGGATATCTCTACGGTGAGCAGGGAATTTCATGCTAAAAATGAGCTTGGAGCCATTGGCGCTCATCTCGTATTTACAGTCTCCAGACGCGAGTGGAAAGTACACTTTATATCGAGAGGACAACCACCGTTAACTTCCCCAACAAGTCGTGCCTATTTTACCCACCCCTGAGAGATGATGGGCTCGCTCAAGCCCCAACGTGTGGATGTGTACTCGCAGCCTCGTGATTGCGATCCGCTCGCCTTCCCGCCGAGCCACTCTTCCCCTGCCTCGCGCCGAACGCTCCACGCTTTGCTTTCGTGTCCTGCGCTGCGCGCCCTCGGTGCGAGCGAGCGAGCGCGCGTGCCGCCCACGCCCGGTGCTGCCTACGCCCGGTGGCGCGCTGCGAGTGCTTGCTCGCGGCGCAGGCCTGAATGTCCAAGCCGTCTATGGCAGTGAATGCGATGCGGCTCCCACGTGTCGCTGGGCCTTGAGCGCCGACGGGCAGCTGCCCTTTCCTCTTCCACGCCGAGGAATTTGCGTCCGGCGCTTGGCTCGCTCCGTCGCACTGACGGTGGGGCGGGACCCTTACCCCGGCGTGTTGCGGCCGATGCGTTTCAGTGCCAGAAGCAGCGGTTCTGTGACCTCGTGTGAAACGGTGCAAATGAAAGGAGAAGAAAAAAACCCGTGGTGGCTCTTGACTGTGTTTATAAATATACTTTTAATGACGGCTACTTAAAAAAGCTTATGGCTGGAGGATTTAATGGGTCGGGCACAGCTAATGGGCACTACAAGGCTCGATAAGGAAATATAGCAGATGAGTGACAACTTCTTTAAGTACGTACATTGCGAGTGTGCGTTCTGCCGGTAAATCCCAGACTGTAAACCACCGTGCACGTGCGGTGTTTCGTCTCGATTGATTTCTCTGAAGAAAACAACAGCGGGGATGGTTGCTCCTTTCACGAGCAGGCTGTAGAATATTCTTTTTATTGCATCAGACTGAACATCAATGCATACTATTCGTTTTTTTTTTAAAGCGTTGCAAAAACGCCAATAACTTGAAATAAATAACGTACTGGCCATGTTGGTATCGTACATTGTTTTGAATCATTATCATATAAATAACATCTGGCGTCGTTTGTGTGTCGAGCGAAGTCTGCATTCTCTATCTTGAAGTACGTAGACTCTGTGTGTGCGGAGTGGCACAAAATGTAGATGTTGAAAACGTCGAGCGTTTGCAGCATTGTTCTTGCCAGACATTCCGCTATAGGGCTGCAGAGCTTGGAGCAGTAGCACCAGTCCTGGTTGCCATTTCCACTTGTGTGTGGTTTTCCTCTCCTGCGTGGAGAAACGGTTTGGGAATGCAAGTTCGCATGAATGATGGTGTAAGTGTAAGTCTCTATTTAGTGTCATCGTCTAGGATTTGGGGAAATGCGGTGGCTATCGGCATGCAGCTGAGCGTGGTTCCGCACAAGGGTTAAGTGTGCTCGTACTCCGCGGTAGAAAGTGCTGCCACCAGCTCGTTTGTAATTGTATTCCTCCGGCACCACCAAACTTCCATTTTTTTATTGCTAGGAAAATGTGCATGGCAACTCATCGTTATATTTGACGTGGGCACAACGGAGATTTGTAACCTCTCGTACGCTGCTCATGAACGTTGGCTACGGGGCAATTCGTCTCTTTGCGCCAATTGGGGGAAATTAAAAATGCTAGATAGCCCCAACGGTAATCCAAACAAAAAGCCTCCACAGAAAAACTTTCCAGCACAAGCGATGGCTCTTTTTCATTTCTATTTAAGTTCGTTTCAATTTGTTGAATGTGCAGACTTAGCCCTTGATGCACTTTGTGCTAATTACTCGAGCACACTGCTGGTATTTAATCCCAGATCCCACAATGTGAACTGACTTGTAACTGAATTCTACGAATGCGTACGTCTCTTCATATTTAAAGATGCTCTGGCCTTACTCAGTCACCTTTTTGGCCGCCGTAGCACATGGCACACGCATGTTGCGTTCTAAATGAGTAACGCTGGTGCGGACAATATAAGTCACAGTAACTAATCGGACAAGCCGCTTCCTTCCAATAATCCAAGAACCTGTCCGTCCAAAGTGGTATTCGTTTTATCTACTTTAGAGGGATGATGGGCTGCGTCAACCCCTCATCAGGATTTGAACTCGCGAACTTGGTTGGCAGGGAGTGACATCGTGGCATTGTGCTTGATGACCTCTTGATGACCTCCTGGCCTTCTTTGTGTATATATTAGGTAAAGTCCTTGCCAGTACGGCTCGAAGTTCACCAGCATTGATTTCAGCAAGCCTGACTGCTGATGAGACGCTGTATGCCGAAGCTGCTGCAGAGTTTGCTTGTCTTGAAATGGGTGCTGCTGAAATTGCGCACTCCCAGAAGGCCGTGCATCTGGTGGGTTGTGTCATCTGGTCCAACCCATGTGAGACTAGGCTCTAAGGAAAGCTGTCTCGGGTGTGGACCAATCAACTTCAAGGACAGTGCACAGTATCAGAGTTATGTCTTTTGTAGATTTGAAGCTTTCGTGACTGCAAGGATTCATATTCTTAGTTTTTTTCGGTAAAGTCACGTAGGTAAAACATTAAAATTAATAAAAATAAAAATCACGAAACGTCGTGATTTTTATTTTTATTAATTTTAATGTTTTACCTACGTGACTTTACCAAAAAAACCTAAGAATATAATTATGTCTTTTGTTTGTATTATGACTGCAGGTATTGCGGTCTATGCAAACATGACTCCTTGTAAAAAGGTGTCAGTTTTGTTGCCAGATAGAAGGGTAAAAAAACAATTATCAATCTCGTAATTGTTTATGTGAAGGCGGATACGTGAAGCAGGCGTCTTGCCTGCTGCATTATTTTGTGAGGTACTCGGGCAAGTCAGACCATGTACTTGGTGTGCGGTTTATTTATTTGTACACGCACCATTTTTATTCCATTCGTGGGCATGAAAACTCGGCGTGGCAGCATAAATAAAAATCACCAAATAAGACCTCGTATTTCATATTTATTGTGGGAATACTGAAATTAGTCATTGCCATATCAATAAAGCGATAACATTGCAGCATGACATCAAGTGTGTTGCTGTGGTGAATCGTGCCCAGGCTCGGAGCGATGTGCAGCGTAGATGGCATGGATTACACTTTGTGGGGAAGTCACAAGTGGCTGTCTTGTGGAGAGACTCTGGCCGGCAGCTGCAGGTCCTTGTGCTTCACGCGATGAGTTACGGACCCCCTCTCCACGGAGGCCTGGGAACATTCACCCACTCGCTCTCTCGAGATCGCTCTTCGCCAGGAGAGACCACTCCTCCGGTTGTAACGTACGTCTGCCGACAGATGTATACGGGCAAATAATTCATCTTGTCTTCTCGTTGGTGAGATGCCGAAGCATTTATCTTCCGAGTGCGACTGACGAGTCAGACTAGTTGCTGCCGTTGAGATGAAGTGTGGCCCCTCCAGAGTGTGAGCAGAGTACAAAACCGCCATTGCGACTTTCCCTCTCCAATATTGACCGTGGGTGTGCGTGTACACGCCCCCTGTCTGCATCTTCAGTGTGAGAACTGCTGCATTTTAAGCAGTGCCCTTTTGAAGGGAACCGTATTAACATACCGCGTCGTCTCTGCCGCTGCCATCTGCCAAACGTAACAATTTTTTGTCGTGCAGATGGGCGCTCCTCCCGCTAGACCAGGGCAGTGCAGACGCCCTGCTCACGGCAGATATCGCAGGAGCATCGCGAAACCAGCGCACACCTCCAGACGTCCCGAGCCCATTTATGCGTAAACATTAGAATCGAGTGAAAGATGTGTCTCTTTTCACAAGTGACATATTTACACGCACTAGCAGGTGGAGTTATAACAAAATCTGAACTTTAATTGTTTGGCGGCTTATATTAAAGTAAGCGATTATGGTAATTGCGTATCATGGGGCACCGATGTTGTTTTGCATCGGCGTGGGTTCCCATTGCGCCCCGAGTCCCATCAAGCGGCGCGTGGTAAACGGCTCTGGCTTTGATGCGTGTGACCGTGCGGTCTCAGCAGTGTGTTTGTCCTTTGCCGACGGGGCTAACAATTAAACCAATTATGAGACACTACACTGCGCTGTATCGGGAGCGCTTTCGCTCTCGTGCGAGCTCAAGCAAATTCACTCGGTTAAAAAAGAAGCGCTCGGTGAACGTAAACAGTCACGTGTTCTAAAGTCTATATAACTTACTTGCACGGTCAACACAAAACCCCTAAAATTAACACACTGTTTTTCCGCCGTTGCATTTTTCCCAAATTCACGCAAATGAAGACGTTATCCAAGTGTGCACTCTTGAGAACAGCGGGCAACTAAGATGCCACAGAGGTGTTGTCAGTTTTGGCTCCTATTGGTCCTCGGTGCCCGAACCAACCCGTCCGTCTGTCCGTCCTCTCTTGGCAGAGCTCTCCGAGGTGCTGTGGGGCATGGTGATGCACACGGGGCTCAGCCAGAACAGCTACGCCGGCTTCTTTGGCCTCATCTTTGTGTTCGCCTTCTTCGCCGTGCTCACCGTCAGCGTGCTGCTGGTCATGGAGGGCCTCTCGGCCTTCCTGCACGCCCTCCGCCTGCACTGGTGAGCGCTCGGACGCACGCACGCACAGACGCACAGACGCACGCACGCATGCACAGACGCACGCACAGACGCATGCACAGACGCACGCACAGACGCACGCACGCACAGACGCATGCACGCACGCACAGACGCACGCACAGACGCACGCACGCATGCACAGACGCGTGGCCTCACGCTTGGCCTCCCCGGACCAAGCATACTGCTTGCCTCTCTAAACCTCTCTGGGTACATTCTGCCCTTAATTATTACAAAATGGTAATGCCAGGAGTGATTACTCTGCTCCAATTAGCAGAGTTCAGTTATTTAATGAGGAAATGTTCCACGATCATATCCTCATTAGCGGGAGAATGTGCACCCTGTTCCCCTTCGCGATCTGGGCTCAAATGTGCATTTGTTTTGTCGGGTGAAACTCTGTGTGTGTGTGTGGGTGAAACTCTGTGAGTGTGTGTGTGCAACTCTGTGTGTGTGTGGGTGAAACTCTGTGAGTGTGTGTGTGCGAAACTCTGTGTGTGTGAAATTCCGTGTGTGTGCTGAATATCTACGCAGTGGTGCAATGCTTCCCTGCGGAGGAATGGAAGAGATCTCATTCAGCCACCTGCTTTTATTTATCGTTTCTTTGTTTCTTTGGGGTCGGATTTTCTTCAGTCGGTGCTGCGAGGTTTCTCTTAAAATGTGAGCCGTGTGACTAATTATCGGCGTTGACTGGTCGCCCGGCCACGGGGTATTGCGCTGCTTTCAAACAAACAAACACACGCACGCACGCGTGTGCCTGTGTGTGTGCGTGTGTGTGTGTGTGCGTGGCGATTCCCACGTGAGCGCAGGGAGACCACGGCGACGGCCGCCTCCCTGCCGCATCGCCGAGTGACGTGGTTGGGGGGTGGGGGGCACGCGGCTGACCGTGAGCGCGGCGTTGCGTTTGAGAGCCCCCCGCGGGCACGTGCCGTGAGCCCGAGTCCTGGGGGGGGGGGGCGTCTCCGTGGGTCGCGCAAGCCCAGCCTGCCCCCTCCCCGTCCCCCTGGGGGCACTCATTCCCTGAGTGCAGGAACGCTGTGCGCGCTCGTCTAGGGCCGTGGTGTCGTACGCAGGGCAGCGGAATGAGATCGACTGATGACATTTGCGTAACCGGTTTAATTGTGCTTCGAAGCCCGACGTCTGTGGTGTCATCGCTGTGTTCGTGTGGTGAGTGATTCGTGAATGTGTAAAGAAGCAGTGTTGGCAGCTTGTATGAACATATTTTTAATATCCAGAGAAGATGCGACACCCTCTGTTGAGTCCGTATAGATTGGCATTTGGCATTTGTTCAGAACACCCCGCGGTCTTCCTTATAGCTGAGGCGGTGGGAGGACTAAAAAAAAACCCATTGTCACAAGACGTCGTTATTCACAGGCGCGGTGCTGGCACGGTGTGATGTATGTTAAACGCAGAGATGTGACAGCCGCTTAAAATATTCCAAATGGCAAGTTGAAACTGACGATCACTGAAAGGCTTTTGGAGCAAACGCCGCTCCGCTCTTCATCCTGACGACACGGACAGCGCTTGCGATGCGCCCGCCAAAGCGGTTGCTCTGCTCGGTGCCACCGTCAAACAGAGCCGGTGCCACCGTCAAACAGAGCCGCCGCCGCCTTCAATCGACAGCTTCCGATGCGTTTGGCCCCGCCGCGTGCGATCGTTGCCGGCTCCGGCAAACGACCCTGATTCTCAACGGGTGAATGCCGGCGCTGCCATGTAATGAGTGCCCATTTCACGCGGACGCGGTTCGATAACGGCGTTGACATGCCCGGAGCGTGCGGCGTGTCTGCTGAGGAACTCTGCCGTTGCTCCTTTCACGCTGCCGCCACCACGGTGCACAAACAGACAAAGATCCACCGCATAGCCTTCTACACTCCGTTGGGGCAAGTGCTGTCTTACGAGCACCTTTGAAGTCCAGCGTACGAGGGGGTCGGTGGCCAACACCACTCCCGGCCACCTTTGTCTCCCCAGTGCCGATGTGTACTCACCTCCTCAGGTACCCATTTAAGGCTGAGCCAAGCTAGGGGTAGGCCCAGGACCGCTTCAGTTGATCGCCACCGTAATTCGATTGTGAGCGGACGTTGAACCTGGGTGGTCGCCAGTGCGTTGAGCCACTGCTACCCGCACGTCAATACACACACACACACCGTACACACGGGCAGCAGTATCTAAAGCCTCTTGCCAAATGTGTTAGAGTAATTACGTGTTTGCATTTTAAATAATTGGTGGAATTAATATTAAATGCAATTTGACATATGGAGTAGCTGGATAAAGAGCATTGATTGCTTTCTTTTAATTCAATCAGTTTTAGTAAAAAAAATACTGCATTTCTTTGTAATTAATATTTGAACAAAGACATGTTTTGCTTATTTCTAATCACAGTGTGTGGTGCCTTTATCTCAGGATGTTTAGTGTATGGCAAATGTTAATGACTCTTCCGGAGTTTTCTTTAATTTTTACGTTACGTTCCAGTATGTAAACTAAAATCAACCGCAACAAACAAAATATGAACAAGAAACATCTTAAAGTGACTACACGCAACAGAAACATACAGGAAAAAACAGCAAAGTCTTCCAGAAAAAAACACCGTATATCAACGCTGTGTGCAAAAATCCCAGTGGGATGCAAGTCAAACAATAACAACCATAACACAATTTAGATTCAAGTTATCAGGCTAACTCTGTACTTCAACAAACAAACATTGCTAAACCATAAAAAGACAATGTAACAGTGATCATAGGAACTGTGATTCAAATTTAACAGGTAAAGCCCACTGAGCTCTTTCGCTCTTGTTCAGAAGTCACCTGGTCACAATGATAGCCCAACGAGAAGTGGCTTATGTTGACATGTATAGCAGCCCAAGGCTCTAATCGCGTGTCTCTAAGTGTGGAGGGCCTGGATAGAAATTGACGCGACCACGGGAGAGACACGCAAACTCCAAATATACGGTAGCAGGCGTCTGGGTCGGGATTAAACCCACGACCTCCTGTATACTAGGCGAGGTCGTTAACATTTCATCAACCCGGTGCCTCCTGTACATGCGTTATGCGACCGTGGTTATGGAGATTTAAATTGTGTACATTTATGTTTCTTCGTCAATTTATTGCACATCTGTCCATTTTCTAACACATTCAACCGGGATATACCTCAACTTGCCCATAAGCTTAGTGTGTGTCTGGCACAGTGAGCTTATAAATAGCCATTGTACGTTGTCTGCAGCCCCTAACATGAGGCCCGGGGCATTGCAATCCAGTCGCCATCGCTGTGTGACGGCACGCCGGTCGTCTGTTTGTCGTAAGGCGATCAATACGCAGCGAACACTTCGTATGGGAGAGGAGGCCACTGCTGGTGAAATCCGAACGGGGCGAGATCGGTTAACGTTGAGCTCCTCGCAACGCCGCACGCCTTATGACTTCATCGCAGTGGCGGCCGGTGCAGCAGCAGCAGCGGCGGCGGCAACACCGTGCAGCGCGCCGCGGCGGTGGTGAATGACGGCGCCCTGCAACTCGTTTGGGGGGCCGGGAGGGGGGGGGGCCGGGAGGGGGGGGGGGCGGTGGCCGTCGCGCAGACGCACGCTGCCCCGTGGCCGCGTGCGAGCGTGCGATGGCGGCAGGAGCTTGTTTTCTTGAGCAGGCCGAGCGTCGCGCGTTACGTGGCGGCACAGAAGTGCGAGCCCTTGATGGCTTGGGAGGAAGACGATATGTGCGGCACGCGATATCCGTCAGCGCTGTCGTTGTAACCCTAACCTGTCAGGGCGCGTGCAGTGTCGCGAGGTTTCACGCGTAAGTAGGACACGCTGAGCCCACCGCGTTGAGGACACGGCCTACCAGACCTCACTGTATCGTCTCATCCACACTGTTGAGCCACAGCACTCCCTGCAGGTCACGACGACACACTCGCACGCTCGCCCATTCACCACACTGCAGCTCACAACAACGCACTCAGCCACTCGCTCACCCACTCGCTCACCACACTGCAGCTCACAACAACGCACTCACCCTCTCACTCACCTGCTCACCCACTCATTCAACCACACTGCAGGTCACAACAACACCCCAACAACACCCTCACCAACCCACACACTCGCCACACTGCAGGTCACAACAACGCAACACTCGCACAATCACCACATTTCTCGTAGCGCCTGTGAATACCTTCCTCAATTGGTGAAGCGTGTTGGCTCGTCTTTACAAGCCTCGTGGTTGCTGTTTGTTGCCAGCCGCTTAAAGCTCGGGGCCTTTGGGCCGCTGCTCAGAAACTCTTTAAAACAACCAGTTAATAACGCGATGTTAAACGCACAACTATTAATAAGCGCTTGATATTGAAACTGGTTGGGCAAGCTGTTTGTTTTGCCATGAAGCGTTGTCATGATATTTGTGTGCTCCAACGCAGCGATGTAACGAGGACAACTGTGGGGCCACAGACACGCACTGCTGTCCCTTGCGAACCCACAACTCTGATGTGTCTATGTTCACCATCTGCTGCTCATTAATTAGCAATAACAATTTCAATTCATATTTCATCTCTTTCTGAACGGTTGGAGAGTTGCCGTCGCTGCGCGTCCGAGTGTCCACCTGGTCCGAGTGTCGGTCCACCCGTCTGGGCAACGGCGATGTGGTGGGCACTTTCGCAACATTTTCCTTGGGTGGGGAAAGAGAAAATGGCCCGAGCCGTCGTTGCAATTGTGTAAATGGTTGCCGTCTTTCTGTTTGTAGTTTGCAAAAATGCGGCGGTGGAAAGACGAGGGCGGCGAGCCGGCGGTGCGGGTAACAGCGGCACGCCGTGTCGAGGAGGTGCCGGGGGGGGGTAGCTAGGCCGTTGCTTAGAGACGAGCGTGGGGGAGCGACGTGGGGGACGACGCCCGAGTGTACGCACGCGGCAGGGGGAATTAGACAAAGACAAAGACCCCCCCCCCCCAGTATAGCCTTGACAGACAGTTGGGGCAAGTGCTGTTAGCGAGCACCTATGAAGGCCGGCATGGCACACGAGGG